GCTATTCATATTTAAAATAGCAGAACAATCAGTTATTTTTCAACAGATTCTTGTGTTAACAGGCCTGGGGGTGTGTAGAGTAGTGATGTCCGGTTCGCGAACGAATTGTTCGATTTAACCGGTTCTTCTTAGTGAACCTGTTGAACCAGTTCACCAAATCGGCTGAATTGTTTGAAACGGCTCGCATCTCCAGTTAGCACTAATCCACAAATTACTTAAATGATTCACTTTTTTTAAACGTGGCTGAGACTCCCTCTGAGTCGAAATAAACCAATATCCAGGAGTAATTAATTTACTCAAACAGTACACTGACTGAACTGCAGTGAAGAGAGAACTGAAGATGAACACGAGCAGAGCAGCATGTGTGCAGCGAGCCGGATAACGAACATACACGCCCACTGCTGGAGCGGTTCTCGTTCTCGAGTCAAGAACCGGTTGCATCGGTTTTCGGATCACCGGTACACTGAACCGAGAACCGTTTCTTTCGGACACGTCCGATCTGAGAACCGATGAGCTGATGATACTGCGCATGCGTGTAATTTTTCAAGAGGACGAAAGGCATGTTATCCAAGTATTGTGTTAAACATCAGAAAGTGTGATAATATAAATAGCCTATATTTTATTTTATTTAAAAAAAAGAAAGATAAATGCATCTAATCTGTGTACTTTGTTCATTTGAAGATTCTGTTAGGCCAAAGGGGTTTGTCAGGGATATTGGACCATAAGCAAGACTCTGTTTAATAGGAATAACTTTTTTTTTTATAGGAATAACTGTGCATGACCTGATCGCTCATAAAAAAAAGAAAAAAAAAGAAATAAGGGATAGAAGCAAAAAGATATGGCGGAATGCACTGGGATGCTGGGGAATGGAATAAGTGGGTCTAGGTTATGTATTTAAATACTTTCTCACACATATTACTCAATGTGATTACAGTTTAGATGTTGCTGTGGAAAAACATGCCGGTGCACAGGAATACCTACTCTTACCACAAGAGGGTGTGTGTGCGCGCGTGTTGCTCTCAAATGCACAAGGGGTTTTAAATTTTCAGTCACATGTATTAGCCTTGTGTGTAGGCCTATATTAGAAGAACGTGTGTGTTTTGTAATGTAGTCTTTGCCCTTTACTTGCAGAAATTGTGCACTGTGGTCACTTAGACTTGTGCGCTGTGTATACAGACACACACTCTTAATGTAGACATGCTTTGCAGTGGTGTGGATTACAGGCTGTGTTTGTCTGTTAGCCTGTTGCAGTGATGACTGATGTATCTCTATCAGATCTGCCCTCTTATGCAATATAATTCTCCACACCACACCAATTAAACACATGCAGTTTTCCATTTGGAGTTATAAGCACGTGGAACATTTATTTAAAGGAACAGAAGTCACGCGGTTTATAGTGTCTCACAAGCATTCGAAGGGAAAGGAAAATCTGTTTTACATAGATAGTCTTGCTCTTTGGATTTTTAAAATGCACTATGCAGAAAACATCACAACAACACTCATTCTCTAAATAAACATGTATCTGTGTGTGTTGCCATGCAATGACTCATAACACATATCTGTTATGCGGGTTATCTGAGAGCTCAAGCACATTAATGATGCTGGCACATAAAGGTGAAGATTCTTCATAAGCTTCCAGGAGACACACGGGGGTCCAAATAAAATCAGCTGACAACCCACCCCACCAAAACTACACGGACACACATGCTCTTCAAGCTGCTGGTGTTTAAACAAGATGAACAGTCATGTTCCAATCACTCCTAATCATAATATACAGACTTATATAGCTAGCCAAACTACAACCAATTTGAATAATTTCATTTATAACACAGCTTAAAAGGCCCCAGCTTCTTCTTTTTTTCTTCTGGCATGCATCAAAAAAGTCTTTGCACTTTACATTGCACATCAAATTAGAATTTTAATTTCTTATAATTACTTTTTATCTAAAAAAAAATACATCTGCAATACTAACAATTTATACAATATCATACAATATAATAATTAATTATGTAACATGGGATGTCCAACAATCAGAAATAAACTCCAAAGTGGAGTTTCCAAAGCTGATTGAGTGTGGCGACATTTGCAGCAGCTGAAAAAACCAACAGCAGAAAGAACGAGAACAAGCAGGATTAAAGGATCAGTGGAGGGGTGCAGAAGCCCCCCGTCACCACCAGCGCCAGCACCTCTCCTCCCTCTCGTCTAGAGTCTCGTCCTTTGGCTCTGTTTATTTAGCTATAAATATCTAATAGCCGTCAGTATGACACCAGCACATACTGAGAAAAATTACCATGATTACGACTAGAATAAAAGGATATCTTTTAATTAGTGCGAGATCAGTAAGAGAAATAAAGTGAGAGATAGCATACAAGACAGTGTGTCCTCCTGACCATGACATTTTTGGCACAAGGTCACAGAACGCCGAAGCAGACAGCATGTACCAGAGTCACAGCACAGCTTCACTCTTCTGTCCTTTTTGAAGCACTCTGTTCTACTGACGAACGCTTCTGATGTGATTTCTTATAGACTACACTATAAAAATGACCGTGAATTTAATGGTAAAAGACTGTTAAATGCTTAACGGTAAATTCCCCTACTATATACGGTGAAAAACTGTATTGGACATTAATTTTACGGTAGTATACCGTTTTTTGGAAGTGAAAAAGTCTGTATAATTTACAGTGAATAACCGTAAATTGACATTCCCAGAATTCCCTGCGTTACATTTCAAATTTGATGTTTTTTTGTTGAAATAACTATGTTTCTTAGTTTTTTTCTTATCAGTTTTGTATATTAGGTTTGTGTGTTACACCTAATGTTGTTAAATGAATGTTTATTGCATTATTTCAGTTTCATGTGTGTTACCATGATGGTGTTTAGTGTCTGTGTGAATGACTGTGCACCTTCTGTATGTGTTATTATTTAAAAGCTGCTTGTGATGGGCTTTGGTTCATCATGTGACTTTCTCATCAGCACCTGCATTTGGTGGTTATTAGTGTAATACAAAGGTACAAAACAGAATTCAGTACTTCAATAAGGTTGGTATATTAACATTTTATCAGTTAATGAAATTGCGGTATTTAACTGTAAATTTAAGTTAAAACCTAAAACATTGCTATCGTATTTTTTACGGTACAATTCTGGCATCCACAAATGCTGTTTTTTTTACAGTAAATTTTACGGATTTTTTTTTACAGTGTAGACTTGTTTGTCATCCATCAAAAATCTCAGCTCTTATATTATTTATTTCAGAATTCAATTACTCTGTTCTTTCTCAAGCAAAAAAATACATTTTAATTAACACTGTTAGAGTCTCGTCCTTTGGCTCTGTTTATTTAGCTATAAATATCTAATAGCCGTCAGTATGACACCAGCACATACTGAGAAAAATTACCATGATTACGACTAGAATAAAAGGATATCTTTTAATTAGTGCGAGATCAGTAAGAGAAATAAAGTGAGAGATAGCATACAAGACAGTGTGTCCTCCTGACCATGACATTTTTGGCACAAGGTCACAGAACGCCGAAGCAGACAGCATGTACCAGAGTCACAGCACAGCTTCACTCTTCTGTCCTTTTTGAAGCACTCTGTTCTACTGACGAACGCTTCTGATGTGATTTCTTATAGACTACACTATAAAAATGACCGTGAATTTAATGGTAAAAGACTGTAAAAATGCTACAGTAAAAACCTGTTAAATGGCCAGGATTTGTTGCAATAAAAATATAGTAAAATGAGTGCAGGTAATTTTCCCTTATAGTATACTATTGTAAAAAACAAAAAGCAACCAGACTGATAATGCTGGAACACTCATAAACTGAGCTGAAGTCTTTTAAGTGTTGCTATAAAGAACAGACTAATGAGAGTTGCACAGATGCCAAAGCACTGTCTGTTCTGACCATTGCCCGACTGCCTCTTCACATTCCATTCCTCCCCTCTTTTCATTTCCTATTCCAGAACTGATCATCATATTACAGAACATATGCACAGTCCTTGTTTGTATGCTTTTAATGATCTATGTGTAAAACAATGTAATATAAATGGACACAAATATTCTTGTAATCAGGGGGATTTATAAAGTTTGTCCAGTGAAAAGCTCTCTAGAAGGCTGATTTATGCTTTGAGGGTCAGGTCGGATTTGGCAGGAAATTCCTTTTCATCTCGTTCATCCTATCGTGTTTACTTTATGTCCGTAAACAGAGATCTGGATAGCCTACTACGATGACATATTATGTTACTTGTTCAGACGACATATTTTTCAGATATTTGTCTTTGAGTGACTTTCTCGTTACTAGTGGGTCTTGGTCAAATTGGATTTCATATGGTGTTCGTGTAGGCCTAAATACCTCAAACCATCAGATTCATCCGCGCCGGATTCAACAGCGGGGTGCAGGTGCGATAAGCGCAAACCCCGTAGCCGATTTCATTGGTCAAATTAATACTTAATGGAATCAGTTCAGAGTTCAAAAAATATTCATGGACGGATCCGATCATGACCAACAGTAGCCTATCCATTAAGATATGATTAAGGTTACAGGTTATAGTAGCCGATTTGTTTTAGCGTTGTGTAGGCAATCAGAAGAACTCGTTTGCGAAAAATGATCAGGCCATCTCCACAAGTAACATGCAGCTTTATGTTTCAGCCACAGATGGCAACAGAAGCTCCGTAGTGAACCTTTAAAGAAGAAAGTAGTGCCATGCTAATAAATTGATGGTAGCTGTGGCAGGAATGATCTCCTTTCCTGATTAACAATGCCATTCTATTCTATTTCAGGAAAAATAGCACCTGTTTCTGACAGAGTCTTTCTTTCTTTCTTCTCATTAATAGTAATATAAAAGCAAAAACAAAATTGATTTTATACTAATACACCTTTATTGAAGTGATTAAGGTAAATAGCAAATATCAACTATCAATGAATTCAACAACAAATACCAACTGTCAACGAATAGTGCTTCTTATTTGTTAATTTTTTTTTAGTTTTAACTAAAATGTAATGTTTTTTTTTTTTTGCAGAACTAACCTTGACAGCATGTTAAAAACATCCACATGAGCTCAAAATTGAACCTGTGCACATTCAGTTAATGGCAACCGGACAAAAAGTGCTGTGTTTTTGACAATCAATACAAAACAAGCAATTACTATTTACAACTCAAATTCACTATACAAAGCATTATTCTTGTCATCAAGTTCATTATCAGGATCATCAGCTTTCTTTTTGCCATCATGAACATCATTTCTTCATTTGAAGTTTCACTCTCTGCACATGCTGTTTGACTATCCCTAAAAACCAGTTTCTACTTGCTTACCCCCTCTGTTTCATCCTGCCTTTTGTATCATTATTTAATAACGTCCATACAGTCTTTGACTCATATTTGTCTTTCTGCTTTTCAGCCCCTCTGGGCCTCCTGAGACATGGATCGGCCCAGGGCTCTGGGTGCTTTGGCAAACTCCATTTGCATGGGCTTGACGGGCGGCAGGTCCCTGGTGATCTGTTCCACTGGTCTCTTGTCTGGACAGGCTCCGTCTGGAACCCTGGCGGGAGGCAGATCTTGCAGGGTGTGTGGGGCTCCACGGCCCAGGCGGACACCCAGTTCAGCAGGCTTAAAGATGGGCAAGGGCAGGCTGTTCCTGTTGGGTAAGAGCTGGTGCTCCCTTACACCTGTGTCCACAGTGCCCACTCTGACAACACCCGATGGGCAGGCCTGATTGAGAGGACGTGCCTGCCAGTAACGGGACAGGGACTCCCGGCGAGAGTCATCTGACATCAGCATCGATTGGCTGGAGAGGGAGAAAAATGGAGAATTATGAATGAAAGTTTTGACATTAATTGCGTTTAACCTTATTTTATGCAAGCTGCAATGCAAAACCTCAATATTATTATAATAATAAATATTAATTATAATAAAGTATTTTTTCATTAAAAACATCTACAGATGCTTAAATCCAGCTAAACTGAACTGCATAAGGTACAAAGATATTAAGATTTGTTTTTAGAGAATATATGTCACTGTAAACTTGTGAAGTTTATGTTTTAAACAAGAAAAAGATATTTCCCAGTGTAATTCAATATGTTATCTGAAAATAAGTCATGTTATTTATTTATTTTTTGCAATTTTGCTGCTCAGGTAAATTGACTATTTAAAATCCTGACAAAAAATATTAATTAAGCAATGTTTTTTATATTATTTTAATATTACATAATTAAATCTGTTTTAAAAGATTTAGAATGCTTTAATAGAGATCCTTGACATTCAGTAAATTCTAAATTAATAAATAGCTTCCATCTAGTTGTATATACTGTATGTGAATGTCTATGCACTCACCGATCCTCAGGTTGAGTCTTCATATTGATGCTGCGCCAGTTAGCGGTGTAACTCTCTTTCATATTTGGATTTTCCTCCTTCACACTGCAGCTGAGCTCGGCTCCAACCACACATCCACCTTTCTTCTCCAGGACTGTGCACATCTGCATCTTCAACTTCTGTTTGTGAGCGGCTTAAAAACTTAGTCAAAGTCAAAGATCTTAAATCTTTTACAATACTGTTTTAAAGATTTGTAATTTTCTTTGATTTTTTCTCTTTTCTTTTTCTTGAGTTTGAGGGAGGACTCGTCTGTCTGTCTCCTGCTCTGTCTGGTCGTCTGTCTGCCGGAGCGTGTGTCAGACTTTTATAGAGCTCTGCTGCTATTTCTGGCTGATGGAATCACTCCGTACTTTGTCTACAATGACACCTGACACTCACACACCCACATATCAAAACATTCACAAACACACTGTAGCACAGCACTGGAACACGCATATAAGACCTAAGAAATCCCCAGCAACTCAAATTTCCATGACACATTCCAAACATATCTATCTATCCATCTAAATATTAATTTAGTTATTATCTGAATGGATTCTGTTGCTGATGCTGAAATGCTTGATCACACTGTATCAGCATGACATTTGTTCCTCCATGGGCCTATTAACAGACATCAAAGGGCTTTCAATGGAAAGTAAACAGTGTTCGGATCTGTAACCAGACAGGAGATTATAAACATGTGACAGCAATTGTTCTGTATTAATCTTCTTTTGCAAATATAATCCCTTAAAAAAACATAGTTTAAATATCACATAAAAGACAAAAAACTCAACTATATGCTGCTGTATTTATTTATATATGCAGATTAAACATATGTTGTTGCAAAGTTGTAGGAAACTACCAAATGATCAATAACTTAAAATGTTTCAATACGTAACTTTTTTTCTCTCTTCTCAAACAACCACTATAAAATATAGTTAATATGGAAAAGCATTAGTCATAGCATGTGTTCAGTGACAGACCAAGTGAGCACTGGCGCTGTTTTCACTCATCAGATGAATATAGTGCTGTGTGGACAGAGGTTATGGACAGTCATATTCTCATGTTACACATACATTCTGTCCCTTGTCTGTCATTGACTGCTCTCTCAGTGACGCACTGGGTGATTACAGGAACTGATCTCACACTTGTGCCGTCCCGCTCCTGCAATGTGGCCACTCAGCACACTATAGTATGGAAATGTAGCACCATGTAGAATGTGATGTAGATGTGAAAGTAATTTGTTTTTTAATATGTCATAAATAGATTTTTGTTGTAAATATGCCTGACAAGATTGTTACACTGAATGACATTTTAGTGGGTCTCTTCTGTAAATCAGGGGAAAATGTATTTATTTTTTGCTCAAAAAAACAAAAACAAAATTGCAATTAAATTAAACATTAATTAAAAAATGTTTTTTTGGGGAAAAACAACATTTTAAAGCAGCATTACACTTATTGTTTTAATGCTTAAACCCTTTTTTTTTTTTTATTCAAATTTTATTTTATTTTTTCTTTGTATTTGTTTTTTCATGAACATCCTAAAAAAATCATAGTTTGCGTATTAATACAAACAAATTCTTAGAATGTATACTATTAATAGACAAATATATATAAAGAAATTCAAAATATTTTTTTTTACAAACCCAGTTATGAACAGAAACAAGAATAAGCAACCATGTCCATCAGTCAATTTATTTTATTTTCAGCTATATCAGACGTCTTACCAGACAAGCAACATACAAGACAGGACAAAATACACTGAGCCATTTTAACCTAGTGATTTAGTTAATGGACAAAACCTAAAAACCCTTTCTAGAGATCCTGTGCCAGTCTCTAAACTGCAAAATATCATATTTTAATATAGACTTAATGAAACGCTCATTAATCATGTACTGCCACCAAAAGTTAATTTCACAAGGGGTTCTTTTAGCACCAAACAAACCCCTGAATTCCTGTCAGCCTGCTTTGGTCCTTATATTCTACCCCAAAATAAGTTCCTGTTTGTCCTTTTCACCCCAAATATTTAGTTTTCCCCATGTAACCCAGTCAGCCTAGCTTGTTAAGGCTGTTGTGTACATCCTTATACTCGACCTTAGTATTCTTGGTTCTGGTATCCACCAGAGCCGTCATAATTAGCCTCCATGTCAGCGCTGTACCCAGCGTACTCCGTGCCTGCAGCAGGCACTCCTGCGGGATCCTGGCTGGGATCAGTATAGTCCTGAGAGAAGAGAGATGAACTTGCGCCTAACTTGTACCTCTGGAATGCGAAAAAAGCTTGACCAGCCTTTAGGAAAATGAAGATGCCAGGAGGAGAGGTTTAGAGGGTGGGATCAGGGGGAATTTCAATAAGAATTATAGGATTATGGCAACAGGAGAGGAGGAATTTTCAGTTTTGATGGTGAATAGTGAATGAAATGGTATTAGTTAGGGAAACAGGTAAGAATTAAATGAAAGGAATTAAAAAGAATGACAGGATGGACCAGAGAGAGAGAGAGAGAGAGAGAGAGAGAAAAAGAGAAAAGCATTAGTTTGATTAAAACACAAGATTTAGATGGTTAGTCAGCTTTAAGCTAAACTGAGTCGTGAATACATTTAGCTATAACCTTTTAAACCAAACTCTTTAAACATACACTTAGACAACCTAAATCCAAAACAAAACATAAAACCAGAACTTGAGACAAACTTAAGACAATTTAATCAGCTACACAAATAAACTTGAATTGAATTGCATGTTTGGTTAATTCAATGCATCCTTGCTGAATACAATTATGAATTTCTTTCAAAAAATCTTACTGACCCCAAACCTTTGAAAAGTACTGTACCTTTAACCCCAGTCTTTACTTGTATGATAAATGCTGGAATAGACCTAAAGGTGAAAATTAGATCATCTCACTGGAGATCCTATTGTAATAATTTCATAATTCCAGGCAGATATGTATCATATGTTATTTAAAACTCTTCCCAGTTCGTACAAGGAAGTTCAGGGCTTGATATGGCACTGTAACAAAAAACAAACCACATATCATATCAAAAAACATCACATCTTCATTGGTCTCCATGACTGTTGGATTTTTTGAGGGGTGCTTCTGTAGTTGATGTCTATGGCATAGTAAACAAGTATGTGTAAGGTAAATGTTAGACAAATGGAGGTGGCGTATGAGGGGTGAACAGTTTGTTGTATTCCTCTTCAAATGAGACTTTCTTTAGGCGCTCCAGGGCCGAGAATGTAAGAACACCCTAAAGAAAAACAGATCAGCCAGAGCCAACGATCAACAGAAAGAATGATGGGAAAGACATTTCAACAACACTGGGTTAATCTTATCGATGCAGCTGGGTGGTTTCTGTAAGAGAAGTGCTTTAAGGAATTAGAGATTAGAAAGAAATCTGCAAACAGCGAAGCAAAGATTACTGGGGTAAATAAGTGAATTCTCCGGAAAAGAAGCTAGAGAGCAAAGTACAGAAAGAAGATTAGTGAATGAAGCCACGTGGATCAGAAGCACAGGTCATGCACAGTGGTTGATGTTCACAGGTCATTCATTGAGAAGAAAGCATGACATGTATGGGGGTAGAATTGTTGCTTAATTCCAAATAAATAGATTATGATCCACAAATAAATAGAATGAGATCCACAAATAAATCTTAAAGTTTCACAAACATGAATTAAATTCACAAATAAATAAAATGAGATTTGCAAATAAAAGACATATTCGCAAATATATTTTTATGTCACAACCACAACTTTGCCTGGCATTTATTTGTGAATCGCGTCCTGTGCATTTGCGAATTGTGAAACATTTCTTGCGTCAAGACGTGCTGACAATCCACAAATACGTGGATTCCACCCACCGTCTACTCAAGCCAATCAGATAACAGCCACATTCGCTGACCAATCGTAGCACGATCTCGCTATAGCCAATCACGTTTTGCTTTACAATCAGGGCGGTCTCGTCCTGAGATAACTTCATTCATCTGCATTGGCTCAAATAGGTCATATAAGGGCCATACAATGGGTACAGTAAAATATGTTTAAAACTGGATTTCGTAAGACCATTAGACTGTGTATCATGCCAAGCCACAGTATTTTATGTTACGTGTACTAAAAGTACTAAAATGACTAAAACTAAAACTGAAAAAAAAAAATTTATTAACATGATAAAGAAGTACAATATGTTTAAAAAAATTTAAAATGACTAAAGCACATAAAATTATTGGAAGTCAAACTAGATATTAAATGAAAACTAATTCAAAGCTAATTCAAAATATTAATAAAAACTATAAAACTAAAGAAGTGATACAAATATTATTGGTTCATCACCAATGTAATCTGGTCAAATAAAAGGCCTTGGGAAGAGGAAGGGGCCCAGCCATCATCTATATAATAAAATGAAAATTCTGACCGAGAAGAAAATGTAGACATTGAATCTCGCAAATTAACTATGATTCAGATCAATTAGATTTGGTAGGAAACATTCACTTTAAATGAAAAATGACAGAAGAATAAGATATAATTAAGTCAGTACAGACCCAAGTAAATATGGAGAAGAAGGCGAAGGTGATGGCTGCTCTGGCTGCGTCTCCACCCTCTTTGAGGGGGTTATCTTCAGATTTAGCCACCTGCCACTGATTGGCCAGGAAACAGAATCCCACAAACCACACGAAAGACCAGAAGGCTGAGAGAAAAATGGGAAGGTGCAGATTTCATATCAATAAAGCATTACAATAAATGCCTTTGGTTGGAAACAAATAAACTGAAAATAGAGTGATAGCATATTTCTGATCTGATAAAACGGTCAATTCATATTTATAGGGCCTAGATGGTGCTATTGCACCACAAATTCAGCATAGCACTGGGAGTAAGTCTAGCTGAAGTTAAGTTAAGGGAAGTTAATGCTGCAGTAGCGGAAGTTCAGATCTAGACTCTAGGGGTGCTTTTGAGCCAAGAACACCTTAAAATCAAGTGTATATGGGAAACATTACCTTCCTAGAGACACTTTTAGTATGGTGAAAAGAGTGTCAATAGAGTGTGGCTGGGGGCTTGCAGTTAATTAGTGAAATACTGACATGTAATATCAGCAGTTTACCTGAAACACCAATATCAGCTAACACAGCCTTCTTGCGGTCTTTAACGCTGCTTATCTGAGGAAAGTAGACGTCCAGTGCCATAAAAGCGGCACAGCAGAGGAAGGCCAGGGATCCCATACCCACGGCATAGTTACAGGCATTCTGGTTGCGGTTAAAGATGCAATACTCCTCCACCTCGTCTGGACGGTTCACATAGCCCTCGTTAGCAATGCATCCAAAGATCACAATGGAAAAGATCTGAGGAGGGGAATAAAAAGAAGAAGAACATGAAGGAAGAAGAATTTGTGTGAAGGTGATATGGACTTATCACACTTCATTTCATTTAGTCTTAGGTAGTCAGGTTTTGGGGTTTCTCCCTGTACATTTATTGACACACATGCTTTTACAAGACACTTTTATCCAAAGCAACTTAGAAATGATAAACATATCGAACAATTCATCATAATAAGAGCCAACAGTATTCATAGTATACAATACCATGTGTAAGATTAGTACGAGGTGGAGAAGAGGTGAAATGCAAGGTACCAGGTTAATACAGGTGCTTTTGAGGAAGAACTATAATCACTGGATTTGGAAAAGGTTCAGTTTAGTAGCATCAAATCTTTGAAAGACAGCCAGTGTTTTGTCTGAGGCAATTAAAAGCCAGTCAACTAGATATCTACAAAGATAACTTATTTTTTTGCCTTGTTTTCTAAGTTGAAATACTGAAGTATCAGTAATTTAATCATAATTTTTGTTTAACTTTAGCTTTGCAATGTCTGGATTTTGTCTGCAAAAATATGTTGAACAACCGTAAATGTGAACATATCTTTAGTCCAGGGTTAAAAAAAACATTAAGCATCATGTCAAAAGCCCTACAGAGCCAATTAAAGTTGATAAAATATTATTTATGTCCACTGTAGTGCTGATTTAAGCTCTCCAAGTAAACAAACAAGCATTTTCTGACACCAAATTAAATTGTTTCTTTGGACTGCAAGTTCTTGCTAAAAATATTGTGTGCAGATGTCATCTATCACCACAGAAGGCATTAAACATGTGTCTGTTTTTAATCTCACTTTCTTGCTTGTTGTTACTGGGTTTGTTTTCTACAGGGAAGCTAGGGTAGATTTGACACTTCCATAATAATAAGTGCCTTTTTGGATTCATATGAGCCCATGTTCTCTTTTTGGCTCCAGAGGAACAGACAATCTTCAAGAGGATGGAGGCAATTTTTGGCAAAGGCCAGGGTTTTAACAGCTGGCTTGTGCATATCTGTACAATATGTCTGAATGTGTGAGAGTGAGAAAGAGACACTTCATTACTCCACTCATGCAATTAAGTTAAAATGCTCTTGGCTACCAGCAAACTGTCCCATACTTATTCTCTAATTGTCAGCTACAAACCCATGATTTAATCCAGGGAATCAGCTTTATTTTAAAACTAATGTTAAAGGGGTTTGGCATCAAATCAAATAAACACGGAATCTCTAAGATACAGGTTCAATGGCTCATTCAAACCTTTATCTTAAATCTTATCAAGCACATATAAACAAGATATCATCACGGCCGACTTACGGATAAATTAAGGTAAAAGCAAGCCCTATAGTATAATATAGGACTTTAATCTCTGTTTATCACATTTAAATCCATTCCATGGGATTTATTTCCAGATCCTCAGCACTTAACAGTGTTTCCTGCACTGCATTTTAGATGCAGCTAAACCTAACTGAATTGTGAACGTAGGCCTGTATTGACTGTCATGCAATTAAAGAACTATGTACCTCAAACTAATGGCAAGAAATGTCTTTCTATTGAGTTGTTTTTGCAGGATGAACTCATGCAAACTTATGCAAACGACAATTCACGAACTAATGACACTATGAGCTGGTGTCTTTTTATAGTTCATCAAAATCATTCATGAACAACTGACTCTTTTGAACCACTTCTTTTTAGTGAATCAAAAATATATGACCAGTGTAGTCTGACTCACAAATAAATGACTCTTATGAACTGCTTCTTTACAGTGATTCAAAAACATATACAGCACGACCAGTGTAGACCGATTCATGAACAAACGATTCTTATGAGCCCAGTTCTTTTTTAGTGAATCAAAAACATACAGCGTGGCCAATGTAGTCTGATTCAGCAAAGAACAACAATTAATCAACATCGGACTTCAACATATCTTCATTTATTTTTCAGCTTTTTATTTTGCCCACCCAATCATTTAAATGAACGCAAATAACACTGTAAATGCAAACATGATTGTAAGGTTAAGAGATTATAAAGCAGTATCATTGCTTACTGATTGTCCATAAAAAAAGGTGTTGCCAAAGGCAAGCAAGTTGTTTTGTAATACATATTTCTCTCTTGAGTCTGTGATTTCAAGTATGTGGTCAAGTGTTTTGCCTGCCTTGTCTGGATCACAAGGCCCCATGGCCATGAGTGCATGAAAGCAAGCATTGTAGCAGGCAGCACGCGGGATCTGGATCTTGTGATCATCAGGAGCAGAGCTTTATGTGCTCCGTTTCAACCTGATTGTAGTGTTTTAGGCACATGTGTCTGAAACGAGCGATATGTATGTTTAACACTTTTTTTTGTTTATGTTTATGTTTAACAGTGGAAATTTGTAAAACTTTAATTTCTTGGTAAAAAATGGACAAAACATTTCCTTGTCCCAGTTGTCTCCTTGTTTATATTTTTCTTGTCCTAGTTGTCTCCTTGTTTATATACGACAATTAGGTTTTCTCTAGTCTCTTTAAATTAAAGCATAAACTGACAAACCCATTCTTGCACATTTTCTATATTTAACATTTACAGTGGTGGCCAAAATGATCAGAACACTAATATTTTCACCAGCTAAAAATGGTTTTAAGTCAGTTATTTCTATCTTTTGCTGTAGTGTCAGTATAAATATCAGTTTACATTTCCAAACCTTCATTTTGCCATTAATTGTAATAATCCAGTGATATTTTTGTTTGCACAAGGAGTCTGACAACAGCCAGTGCTCCACACAGAGATCTGATCTCACCATCATCAGTCTGTCTGGAATGACATGAAGAAACCCAGCAGGCACACAACGTCATAAGACGTTGATATTTGGTTACATTTCGGCTGCGATGTCAGGTGATCAAAATGTAAATTCAACGTCTAATGTCAATGTTAAATTGATGTCCAATACCGACGTTAGCTGACATGGATATTTTGTTGTTTTTAGATAGCGTAACCAAAATCCAACGTTAAGTCAACATCAAATAGACGTCAAATATGGACGTCAACCTGATTTTCATTTTCAACCAAAATGCAACGTCTGTCTGACGTCATGTCCAACGCCAACCCGACGTTACATAGACGTCCGGTGCCTGCTGGGAACAGAACAAACTGAGACAGACTCAATCCAGAAGACTGTGGCAACGTCTCAAAGATGCTTTAAGAAACATACCGGCAAAGCTAGCTGAAAAACTATGCACAAGTGCACCTAGAGCAAAAGCTGCTTTAAACGCAAAGTATGGTCACACCAAATGTTGATTTAATTTAGTTAATAGAAGTTAACTGATAAACCTATTTATGACATTATTGTTGACAGCATCCTCGTTTTACAGCATTTTTACAAAAGTGCCTAAAACTTTTAACAGTACTGTAGCTTTGCAGGTAGGTTTCTCGAGGCATCTTGGAGACGTTGCCACAGTTCTTCTGGATTGAGTCTGTCTCAGTTTGTTCTGTCCCCAGCAGGCACCGGACGTCTATGTAACGTCAGGTTGGCGTTGGACATGACGTCAGACAGACGTTGCATTTTGGTTGAAAATGAAAATCGGGTTGACGTCCATATTTGACGTCTATTTGATGTTGACTTAACATTGGATTTTGGTTACGCTATCTAGACGTTGAATTACATTTTGATCACCTGACATTGCAGCCGAAATTTAACCAAATATCAACGTCTTATGATGTTGTGTGCCTGCTGGGTTTCTTCATGTCATTCCAGACAGACTGGATGATGATCAGATCAGATCTCTGTGTGGAGCACTGGCTGTTGTCAGACTCCTTGTGCAAACAAAAATCTCAGTGGATTATTACAATTAATGGCAAAATTAATGTTTGGAAATGTAAACTGATATTTCCTACTGACACACTACAGCAAAAGACAGAAATAACGAACCAAAACCATTTTTAGTTGCTGAAAATACTAGTGTTCTAATAATTTTGGCCACCACTGTACATTAATTCATACACCCATTTACATTTCTTCTTTTCATCAGCTTGTCATATTGGATATTAATATTACAATAACATTTATTCTCCATTTTGTATGGACTTTTATTGTTCTGTATTGTACTGCATTTACTTCCCATAGTGGATTAATAAAGTGCTTCCCTATCCTAAATATTACATATATATACACCTTGCTTCGTATACTGAATTAGGCTAACCGAGACTTGTCATTTGCACTTATATATTGTTGCTCTTTTGTTAGTTTTGACTGCTTTTATTGTCCTCATTTGTAAGTCGCTTTGGATAAAAGCGTCTGCTAAATGACTAAATAAATAAATGTCATATTTTGTAGAGTTCAGCACATCCCACAAGGTCAGCGAGTCATATTTTATTGGCTTTCATTGGTCTTCATTGTAATTTATGGTTCTTCAATCATCCAGACATATCAGCTGGGGCTGGTTTGTGCTTGTACCATTTTAGAGCCAGCAACTATGGCTCACCCACCAATAAATCAATCAACACCTTGAAAGGAAGAGAAATACAGTGGAATAGAGCTGTCCAGCTATTCAACAGGGCTCTTTACACAAAGCACGGTGGTCGCTTGTGTAATGTTAGATAGTGGGCAGGACAATGACAGGTTAAAGTAAACCTACTATAGAGTAAAATGAATCTACAGCTCAGCAGTGATGCTCTAACATCAATTACTGTAAAACAATTTAGAAAACTGGGAATTCTGTTATGAACAAATCAATATTTTGAAGGAATAATGTGGTTCAGTCCGAATGAATCATTGATGAGTTCAGGCTGATCTGATTCTTGAGTGAATACAGACTTCAATTTTGGTATGTTTGGCTTTAATGGTCATATGGACCATTTTTATGATTCTTTTATGGTGCATTTGTATTCATTTTGCATCCATTTATTGTAATTGCATGGAAAAGAGCAACCATTCTACATCACTAATGGTCTGGATGGTGTAAGTTATTGTTAAAAGGATGTCTTCCTGACCACTAAAAAGACATAGTGCCCCTCGTCATTTTTCTCAGTCTGTTACATGCCTGCCGAGCTTTGTCTCTCTCTCTCCCCTCCCCCTCCAATCCCTCGCTTTTAATCTCCCTGACCTTGTGTTCACTATGCGGGGAAAGAGAGATCACGAGAGAGGGAGAGAGACTGAGTCATAAGACTACAGATGATGACCACCTATACATCTGAAGTGCTCCCCCACATAGTCAACCTGACCACTGTTTCACAGCATTCAGAAATCATGCGTCCATGACGGGAGAAACTATATTAGATTAGGATATTCACAAACATCAGTCATATGTAGAGCAATAGGTGTGCAATAGGTTTAACAGGAAAATTTAATTAAACTGCACTGTAACTGCTCTGCTACATTGGTAAATAGTATACTTCAAGTCAAAGATATTTTAATAGCACCTCTGATAAAAACTACAACATATACATTCTCATATGTGACCCTGGACCACAAAACCAGTCACAAGTAGCACGGGTATATTTGTAGAACAGTACATTGTAGGGGTCAAAATTATCGATTTTTCTTTTATGCCAAAAATCATTAGGATATTAAGTAAAGATCATGTTCCCTGAAGAAATTTTATAACATTTCCTACCGTAAATATATCAAAACGTACATTTTTATTAGTAATATGCATTGCTAAGAACTTAATTTGGACAGCTTTAAAGGCGATTTTCTCAATATTTAGATTTTTTTGCACCCTCAGATTCCAGATTTTCAAATAGTTGTATCTCAGCCAAATATTGTCCTATCCTAACAAACCATACATCAATGGAAAGCTTTTTTTTTCAGCTTTTCAAAAAAAAAAAAAGACTGGTTGACTGGTTTTCTGGTCCAGGGTCACATATATATTCTGACATACTGTGAATTCATTAAAATGGACACATGAGATGTCCATTTTAATGAACTGATTCAACACTAAATGTATTCTTTTATAAAATGTATTCTTTTTACATTAGAACATTTATTTATATCCATTTGACCTATTAGGCTTCTTAATAAGAGTGCAAGATATAATAAATGTGGATTCGATACGAGACACAATGCAGGAGTTTACAGTGATCCATTGCCAGAATATCACAACCAGACAAGGGAAAATCCTGCCAGGAAATAAATGAATCACAAACTATAATAATATAGTTAGAGGGATAAAGAGGCTCTGCAAACTATATTTTCCCTCTTGACGTAATGACTATTCAGGAAAAAAGGTGGACATATGGACAGAGATGGAGAGTATGTCGCCCTGCAGCAGTATTCAGCTGTGCCATTACGGACTACAGTAAAATGACCCTGCTATATTTAAAGCATCACATGCTCATTGTAAAGGACAGAACAGCCAGGCCTTTCACATAATTCATATTCTTACAAATAAGAGCAATTGCAACAGACGAGCTGGAAAATGATGTGGCAATTCTGTGTTTCAGAGAAACAGACTGCAGTTAGATGCTGGATGAATACAGTGTGGCAGCTTGGGAAAACAAATGAATGAACTACTACTGATTCTTGCTTGGAGGTTTTTTAACGCCCATGTTATCAAACTCTGTCTGTGAAATATGTGTCAGTTGAGGTTCCTGTGGGAAAGAGACTGCTTACGTAAGTCAAAGATCATCAATTTTAAAGCGAGACCCTATTTACAAACAAGAAATGAGGAAAGACTCCAAGCCTGAATCAGACACTATCCATCATGGTATATACCAGAATTGAAACATGACTAAGGAAATTGCTTCACAATAATGTGTGGCAGTTCATAGAAAGCGCCAAAGAGAGGATACATGAAAGGTTCAAATCCAGAAATATTCTAGAGGCAATCCCATTAATGCCTTTTACTGTTTATCCATTTTCATTTTCCTCATAGTGAGCCTGTTAGTATCCAGCCTGAGGTCTCGGATAGTTGTCATGCTAACGCAGAAGCAGCACTCACTCAGCCAATCAGAGTATGAATCAGACGAATACACACCTCCAGTCCATCCTGAAGATTCCACACAGCAGACTGCACACATGCGGGCAAATCAACAGTTGGTTGCCGCTTAAAGGTGAAGGTTGGCATTTCTGTGCATATAAAGGAACTTAGTGGTTGTGGAAAAATTGGTTAACTTATTAATCACAGTTCTATCTTCTGCTGATTCGAATTGATTCACAAATTTCAAATGTTTTTTTTTTTTTTACATTTAATCTTTTGACACCACTAGCTTAATCGCATCCAAAATAAAAGTTTTTGTTCACATAATATATGTGTGTGTACTGTGTATATTTATTAGGTATATATAAATACACACACGTGCATGCATACATTTAAGAAACATTTTATGTTTACATATTAAATGTATTTATATATAATATAAATTATATGAATATAAATACATGTAAATATTTTTAAAATACATATTGTATGCATTTGTAATTATATATATTTAATAAATATACACAGTACACACACATGTATTATGCAAACAAAACTTTTATTTTGGATGCGATTAATCGCAATTAATCATTTGACAGCATTAATTTAAATTTTTTTGTTAATAACGTGATTTTGTCAGAACAGAGAACTGTGCAGCACCCGGACAGTTTATAGAGAACACACAGGGCAGGCTTGCAACAGGATAAGCGTTAAGAATGAAGCTTACATGAATCAAAACCAAGAATCAATTTTTAACCGAATCGTCACCTCAATAATTGTTTCGATTTAAATCATGGGATTCCAAAAGATGTCCAACAGTACAATAACTGCATGCAGTTTTCCCGAACACTCTCTCTATCCTCCAAAGGATGGACAGAGAGGAAATCCTGCCTCAAAGTGGTGGAACTCAGGACACTCAAAAAACAAAACAAAAAAAAACAATAACTTTCGAGGATTTACAATACTGATGACCGTTAAACGTGCCATCAGTTTTGTGAAAGGGTCATATTGGCTATCCAATACAGCTAAAAACCAATGAATTTCCATGACTTTTTCAGTTGTTCATGATTACTGCAAAAGTATTTTTTACTAATTCAATTTTCTAAACTTCATTAATTTAATATAAATATCACATAAAAACTTAAACTTTATGAAAATGAGAAATGCTGCCTTGGCAACTAACTGAAAATGCAAACTGAAATATGTTTAATTATTAAAATAACTAAAACTCAAATAAAGGACATGACAAAATGATCTATACCATAATGATAAATACTATAATAGTATAAAAATGTAATCATTCTAAGCCTTCATATAGAGCATAACCAGATAATTGTTTTATAAACATTTCCACGACATTTTGCTCATTTCTGTTGGCAATGAATGTAATTTTTATAGATGAGCAATGAACCCTGAGTCAGTGCTCATTTATGATATTACAAGTTCCTTGTGTGTCGATTGTGATATATAAATAATTTCAATTTTTGAATGATCACCCATTACATAGTTGTGGCTTAATCACCGGTTCAGACACCTGCCCACCCCTCCCCCCACATCAGCCACCCTCTTCTAATCTCCCACCACCCCCTCACCATGTGTCTCTTCACGAAACGTTTTTATCAGCAAATAATGCAAGCATGCTCATTCATGCAAGGGCCAAATGCTTAAACAAACTAGGAGCCACTTGACTGAATCGAGATTGAGGAAATGACCAAAGAAACAAAGTGTTAAATATTGTTTAGCTAGTTAACATACAGAAACCTCCCCCATAGCCAGGTTCCCTTTATGAATATTGAGCTTCTTAAGATACTGTCACAGCCTGGCTGTTGCTTTCCAAACCTCTGCATGCTTTGTTCTTTATATAAGAACCATTAATGGTGTGTGAGTTGTTTCTTTTTTTATGAATAGATAGGCTACATTCAATTGGAATTACTATCAGAACATGCTGTTATAGCTAGTTAGACAGTGTTGACCTAGACAACAGACATTATACAGCAATATTTGTATGCTGAATATCACGACTGACCAATCAGAATCAAGTATTCCAGAAATTTCTAAAAATATTATAATAGTTTAAGAAAATTAGTCTATATCAGCTCTAGTCTCATATTTACAATTCAAATGTGATGCACACACGCTACAATACTTAAAGATAGGATTGTATCTCAATATTTTCATGTACATGTCTCTTTAACTAGAAAATAAATAAAAACCCAAACAATGTACTGCGAACGCACAGATTAGCGGGAGATTTTGGCGGCAAAGCTTTACTCGCCGTTAACGCGCGTCATCACATGACACTCGGGCTCGCGCTTAAATTATGCAATTAGCAGAATTCCTCTCACCCATGACAATATTCGGAGAATAATCTGCGGCTGCTGAAAGAACGTAATTGGATCGAAGGTGCCGCCAGCCTTGCCAGCCCCGTATACCTGCTCCATCCTCAGAGGTTCGTGATTTCTCCGTGTCTGAAGTTTTTTCTAATAGAAAGATAATTGACCTTGGTGTCGAATCAATTTTTCCGCGCGCTACACCTGGACTCTTCGCGCTTCGCCCTCGTCTTGATCTTGGATGTCCGTTCGTGGTAGTTTTCTTGTAAAATTATGTCCCTTCCACTCCGTACCTCTCTCATTTCAAGGGTGGAGAGAGGAGACTGAGTAAACACGCATCCGGGGGAACACGGGGGCGCGCATTATGCTGTCAAGCTTGATGCGCGCTCGAGGATACTTAGGCGCGCCACCGACCACGTGCCCGCCAGTGGCAGACATTAATTTGAACTAGGCGTGGATTACTTTAGTAAACGGCAACGGTGTAAAAAGCAATGTTCCTAAAATTATGGGAACCCATCGAAGGACATTACAGTGAATTTAAAAAGGACAAATCCTTGTAACCTTGTGCCACCTAGTGACTGCCCATAGCCCCCACCCAGAGGACAAATGCTTAGTCATGTGCAGACAGTAGACACACAATATTAAATAAAAATATTTATTTAGTTCATGGTAAGTAAAACCAAAAATAAGGATAGGGATGCACCACAAACTATTCCAAATATACTTGACTGTTCAACTTTACAGGTGGTGATGGACAAATCTAAATAATAAGAAAATGTTTTTAATAATATAATATAATACATTTTTCAGCATAACTTCTGCAAGGAGATAGGAACATCACTGAAGGAAAACTATATATACACTTTCCAGGAAGTTGAGGACACTTGTGAAAATTCAGCAGTTCATATGAAGAGGAATAGTTAGAGACTACTGTTGGTACATGGTAGATTCTCTTTGAATTTTAGGAATAATGTAGGCCTATTCCATAGAAATTTGCCAATGCTTCACATGTTACAAGGGTAAGGCTCAAAGTCAGTATTACAATAAAATGTCAACTACTGAATGAAAATAACAGGTACAGTGTGTTATGAACAATTTGGCTGACAACCAGAGGACGATGGTGATTAGTAGTCAGAAATGAAATGCATAAGACTGAAGTGAGAGTGTAAATTTACTAAGGTGTTATTTACAAATAAGTGGTTCACAGAGTTTAGTAAGAGTGCTTAATCAAGCAATACTTGTTTTAAAAAAAATACTTGGTACAATATTTTTTGGGTAAATTAATCTAGGCACATCCATTTCAAGCACAATCTGTATCATCAGTCACACAAAAAGTCCATAAAAGAAAAAGGTTCAAAATTGTACTTCCACAGTTAACAGAGCAGAGTTGCAGTGGTTCTGATTTATGGTAAATGTTCCAATGCACTGCAGCAAAAGATTAGCGCGGAAACATTTTCACAGGTGTCTAAGGTAAGTCCCTCAAAACACAATTCCCATTGCTGCACTGAACCATCAGGAAAGGCTTATTAAGAGTACAAAGTGAGTTCTGTACAGTATATAAGCAGAACCTTTTATTCATATCAAAGAGCAGCTTTCCTAACCCAAACAGTCTCCTTAAAGATATAAAAAAATGGCAACACTGGTTTTAGATAAGTACAAAAGGGGAACTTTTACCAACAGTACAAAATACAGTGTCATTATGCATCAACCACGATTTGATAAGTCACACTGGAGTAAACGCACAAATTCATTCAGCAAACATTTCACTTCTGTTTGTGAAATGTTCTATTTCCACACACCTTAATGGTTCAGCTCTACATAGAAATATAAACAAATGAAACATTTGAGTAAACCACTACAATAAAAGTCATTCTAGACTGATAAAATCTTTTTCACCTATATCACATTAACATTAATTTTCATTTATATTTCTTTTGAAAAGGAAAAACTCTTTAAAGGCTTATGGATTGCTTCCCAAAGTCTTAAGTTTAAAATGGCTCATGGTCATTCTTACAAAAAATGGGTATCACTTAAGGAAAGCGAGACAACAGCTTGAGAAGAGTGCAGATTCAAAGTTATGGCCTTATGAACTGCTGCCAGAACTACATCAGATGTTTAAACCATCTGAAGGACATCTAAAAGGGTGTTAGGCATTCAGCGCTAATTCTTGGTACCTAGTCTTGATGGTTGGAACAGATGCCTATCACTCAGGTAAGTGCCATGTTTCTTATTGTGCTTTTCATCTGACTCTTTTCCAACGCTCCTTCTTCATCACTAGTAAGCATCTAAGGTATAGCCAAGATGTTGCCATAACCAGTCCTGGACAGCATGTGAGTTACTTGACATTGAACACCATGAGGGGCCTCTCTTCACGCTTTTGCCAGGGGCTCTTCTTATTCTCTCCATCGTCATCTTTGTCGTCAGCTTCATTGTCTTCATCAGGACTGGTGACAGAGTCTCTGTGGACCTCGCTGGCACTACTGCGGGTGCTGTTGTCCTGACTGCGACCTTTACGAGGGAACGTCCCTCTGGATTCAGAGGTCTTGTCAAGCAGTGGCGCTGTGGAGTTCTCCTCAGGTGAGTACATGGCTGGATGGCTCTCGCTACTCGAGTCTGGCGTTTCGATAACGGGAAGCTTGGAATAAATCTTTCCGTGAGCTTTTCTTTCACCTCCCTCCTTCGCTTTGCCCTCCTCTTTTACTTTCCGGTGAGTAAATCTCCCTGAACTCACGGGGAGTGCTTCAGAACGGTAGTCTTGGGCTAGACTGCTGGGGCCCACGGGTGCACGCAAGGCTTCATTGCTTAGCTCAATGTAGGAGTGTCTAACAAGAGAGTTTGAACGGCCGTCAAGGGAAACGAACCAGGCACGAGGGTGTGGCTTTACTCCAAGCTCCAGCAGCTTCTTCTCCGTCATCGCTTGCAGCTCTCCATTCATTTGTGCAATGGTGGAGTCATTGAAAAGGACAGGAATACGGACGGGGGCAGTGGATTGTTCCGATCCCCAGTTCTCCTCTGAAGGTCCCTCTGCTTTCTGGCTAGACTCTTCCTCTTCCTTTTCTTGTCTGGCCTGCTGCTGCTGTTGTTGTTGTTGCTTTTGTTGTTGACTTTGTTGCCGTGGCAGCGTCATGCTAACCTGGATGCCCTCCATATCATGCTGCAGCTGTTGCTGCCTTTCCATTGCCTGCTCCACAGCTGATAGGTCAGAGGACAGATGCATATAATGTGCAGGGATGACCAGCGTGGGCACCATGCTGTGGTACATGCTCTCCTTCATCTGCTCCATGGAGTGACAGAAGATCAGCTGACCAGGCTGGGTGTTAATGGAACTGGGCCGACTGAGGTGATCCCCTGCCGATGCATAATACTCTGGGGGCTTGCTGTCCCGACTGTGATCCTGATAGTGGCCAGTAAATGGTGGCAAAAGTGGAGGTGGAGACGGTGGGTCTGATGAATAGCCCTGGTTGTCTTTAGCATTGTGATGATGGTATCTGCGCTCATCAGAGTCCTCCGTAGAGCTGTAACCTTTGCTATAGTCATCCTGCAGGAGTGGGTCTCGAGTTCCTGTATTTGAAGAGCGAGTGGTCTTCAATGGGAAGCTCTCTCCTTGCTTTGTGTCAGCGTTCAACCTAGAGTTGCGCTGTCTCTGGGTGGGGCCATGTCTGAAGAAGTCCTCTCGAGAGCTGTGGAGATCACGGTTGGAGGAAAGGTCAGATTTGATGCCGTCATGGTCAGCGGCTGAGGATGCTGTCTCCATGTGTCCACCGCTGATGAGATTTAGGTGGGAAGTGGATGTCCCCTGGTCTCTCTTTGAGCTTTCCAGAGTGGATGAGAGGTACATTTTACGGCGATGCTGCCTAGGTTTTAGACACCGCCTCCTGAAATATTATAATAATATGTTAGATATTTATACCAAATATACATATAAAGATAAAGAAAACATATATTACTCTTGTTAACATAGCTACCTACTACAGTTTCACCAAAATAATGACAAATTAAAATATAGTTTATTGAATTGCTCATTTTGCTCGTGGAAGTGATCTTAAGCTTTTGTCTATACAAAAGTCTTGCTGTGACATGGGTTTTACAACTTGCTAAGGCCAAGCCTACAAGGATAAGCTATTAATCACTTTTTCAGGCACACAACAAACGTACACACAGTGCAACGATACCTGCAGTAGTACAGTAGCAAACACAGCAGAATAAGCACTAGCAGGGCCATGGCACCCAGAATCGCTAGCAGGAAAATAGTGTGATAGGTAGTGATGTCCCTTAGACCAGAGGTGTTCAGGCCTGCTCCTTTAACACAAAAATAAGTATTTTTGTTTTATCTACCCATCTCTTAAGCATTAAAAAAGTAAACCAATTAAACCAAAATTAAACCAGGCAGATTAAAATAAAGTAATGTTATACAAAGATGAATATAGATATTAAACAACATTTTTAAATTAATTGATTCTTTAAAGTCATTCGGTGTAATTGAATGGTTACTGATTGAGGAAAATGTAAATACTTCAACTCCTGTAACTGCTGCTGGTCTCACCTGAGGTTGAGGGAAATGCTGCAAGCCAGTATCCTAAATTTGGAGCCACAAAACTCCATGTCATCTCAGTGCCCTCTTTTTTAATGTATCCAGCACCACTTCTGACCCACAGACCTGCAGCAAACCAGGACTTTATTACAAAATGAGCAGACAGTGATAAATGCAATGAAATCTTGCTTCAGCTTACAGGAAAACTCAATTAAATGTGCATGGGCAGTGCGCCAGGGACAGATTAGACCCAAACTGTGCCAGATCACACATTCAATAGCTTTTCTTCATTAAAAAGTAATTTTAGGTCTATGATCAGTCTAGTTCAATATTCAAAATCACACAGATAATTTAATATGGTGCACCAAAGCAGGACAGTAAGGGGCACAGATTTTGCAACAAGCCCTAAGGCCAAACAAAAGAGCACAGAGAGTTAATATGTTCTGACAGGGTGAACTCTGACAAATACGATTTAAAATGTCTCCCTCCACTAAAGACGAAATGCCCTCTCTGTGCTGGACTTCACAACTGGAGCATACAAAATTAACTTGTTACTATAAATAAATATTATACTATATATAAAATCCGCAATAACATTGAACTATTTTTTAAAGGGGTCCTATTATGCTCTTTTACAAAGTCTTCATTTTGTTTTGGGGGTGTACTAGAACATGCTCTCATGCTTGGTGGTTCGAAAAACGCATTATTTTTCATATAATTTACATTATTAAAATACCTTTCTCCCCAGCCTGGCACAAATGGCTCGATTAGTTCCGGCTTTGATGAAGGTCCGCCTTCCGAAAAACAAAATGTGTTGTGATTGGTTAGCTGTCCCAGAGCGTTGTGATTGGCGAACAGCTTAGAC